CCACTTTGGGATTGATCATCGTTTAACCAAATAACTTGGTAAACACATTGCTTATTATCACATGGATATGATATAAGTATCACAATGACTTAATCATTAATTAAGCAACACCAAGAGCAATGCCAATGTCATTACCTCAAAGGTTTATGTGAGTATCAAGTGCTAACTCAATTCAACAAAATACAACATAAATGCCACATTCCACTGATAAAGATTTACAACACCCAACACCACTAACTTTTGTTCACAACACGGACAAGCTCATGCCACTCTCTTTCCGACCAAACTCAAAACTAATCCAACACTAAGCTACTCAAAGAGCAATAGCAAAGTTCCCCGAAAAAGAATTGAGCATTGCAACCCAAGTCTTCAATAACAAGTCTAAACAAAATGGTATAGTGCTTCACCGCTATCCATCCCATAACTCACCACTTGTAAGACTATCATTTTCAACATGCATCAAGGTAGGGGCTCTCGATTGCATAATGTGAACACAAGTAATGAGTCACACTTCGTTGCAAATCATATCTCCAAGGAGAGAAAATGATTTATGTGTTTGATCCTTCGTCCCTGACAATTCTTTTTTCGGTTTTATCTTTTTGACTAAACCTCAAGCTTGCTTTCGCATTACCTTTAGTCCAATCCAAAAAAAGTTTATGAGAGAGCACGGCAATGGTTACTTGAATCAATAGACTCATCCCTATAGTCTTGATTGATTCACTTATAATCATGCTTAGGAAGGATCCACTAGTGCCATGCTAAATAGTTACGGATTAGCCTATTTGCCACTTATAGTAAACCCAAAGTTTACTTTCACCCATAGTACATGGAACAATTCATGGAACTACTAGAACAACTCATGGAACCACTGACAGGCTAACATTAATCCTGCCAACTCAAAATGTAACCTTAAGTTGCTAATGTGCCTCACTCACGAGCCCAAGTGCAAACTCATGCAAACGAAACATCTCAATCCCTCTTATAAGCCCAAGAGCAAGCTCACATAATGCGGTACAAAAGGTAACCAAAATCTATACCCAAGGAACAATTACAAAGTTTTTGCACCCAAACATGTACCCACTTGCATCATTGTTTTCATCTCTGCATATGCAACGAGACTAGTTGCCCAATCTTATTGGATAATACTCGCTGAGATGTATCCTCTTATACCAAATGTAGCGCACGTGGTTTTGACCCCTTATCCTATGGTGATTTACCATAGGATAACACCACGTAGCAGAACCTAAACCCTCTTTATGCCACATGACACATGCCATGTGTCCAAAGGACAGTGGTGTGGAACCCAAGGTTCAAGGCCTTGGGCCACTGAACGGTACCAAACTCCCAAGCATGGAGCCAAGGAATGACGAAACTGAACCACAGATCAACTCTTGAGCATATAGCCCAAGGAGCGAAGGGATAGGAGCCTGGAATGACTTGGAACAGTCCTAGAGCAACCAGCATCCTATTGCCAAGACCAGCACGCAAAACGGAGCCAAACAGAGTGTAGTGCTATTTCGGCATACCGGTTTCAAATGTATAGTAGGGAAAGGAGGTAGGTTGGGCATGGCCGACCAATCTGAGGCATAATCTAACTCCCACTTGCATGCCTGTCCTTGTTCTGCGTTTGGCTTGGGTTTAAACCCAAGTTCCACACCATGCTAGCTAGTGGAGTACTCATGTCCTCGCGTTAGGCAACTAGTATGCTGAAATAGCACTAGACTCTGTTTGGCTCCATTTTATGTGCTGGTCCTAACATTGGGATGCTAGTTGCTCTAGGATTGTTCCAAGTTGCTCCGTGCTCCTATTCCTTCACTCCTTGGGCTAAATGCTCGGGAGTCGTTCTGTGCTCTAGTGCTATTGCTCATTGGCTCCATGCTCGGGAGTTTAGCACTATTTCTTCGTTTAGTGGCCTAAGGCCTTGAAACTTGGGTTTCGCACCACTGTCTTCTGGACACGTGGCATGTGGCACATGGTATATGACATATGGCACATGGAGGGTTTAGGTTCCACTTCGTGGTGTTATCCTATAGTAAATCATCATAGGATAAAGGGTAAAAACCACGTGCGCTACATTGAAGGTTAGTACAACTTATCATCCTTAAACTGATGGGTAGACCAAACACATGAATACTCAAGTTGAAGATTATCTACAGTACTATTTCATGGAGGATTAACATGACTAGGTTGAGCATTTGGACACAACATAAATCTATTATAACAACATATTTCAAAGCACTATTGGTTGCTCTTCATAGGAGATGTTGCAAAGGAATGCTTGTGGGGTTCCTTAGTAAATTGTTGTACCAAAACAGATGTCCAAAGTGTTGGTCCCAACCATTAAGATTTATATTAGTAGCTATGCCAAAGTTGGTCTAGGGTAATTGAGGTGATGGACAAAGCTTGAAATAGATATACGAACCTCATCTTGTGATGAAGCCTGATGAGAGTATTAGTTTCTGCATCAACTATCATCTGTTAAACGAAGTAACGAGAGGGCCAAGTGTATGGCTATGATGCCGTATACTAATATTAGTGTAATGGGATTTTGGTAGCTATCGGATTAATTTCAATCCAGACCACTTGCTCTTGTATATAAGCTAGGGTTTTTGGGCTAATTGATATGCACATTTCTATATTCCTTTTCCATATTCCATGCACTCACAATATCATGTTATAATAAACCAAAAAGTTCAAATAAAACACTTTAAGAATTATCAACGTGATAAGGATCACTATCATAGGGATATAACCTATCAAGTGGGAAACCAAGTTTTATTATCCTCACAAAACTTGAATGTTAAAGGGTCTTTGTCTTGGAAGTTAATGTTGAGATATGTTAGGCCCTATCAAGTGTTAAAGGTGGTGATATATTTTATAAGTTAGATCTTCTAGATGCATTTATCCTACATATATGATATATTTTATGTCAATTTGTTAGCATTATATCATGCTTTTATAGACTATTCTATGGATTATTCTCCCCTTTTGGAGGTTGTAAATGGTGCCCTTGAGTATAAGGTTGAGGCAATTTTTTGTCCTACAAAGCCCATAATGTTGTTCCAAGGAATATCTAATCAAATGGAAAGGTTATCCAACTTGAGAATCAATTTGGGAGCCTCTTAGTAATTTTACCCATACCCATAAGCTTATCACAAAGTATGATAATCATAATAAAAGGTAACTTTTATAATCCTTCTTGCACATTAATAAAGTAATATGTTTTTTACCATCCAAAATTTCTTCATTTATATTGGGTCAATTTTGGTAGGCTGACTTTGGCACCTTGGTGCATAAGTTCAATCCATAACCATGGGGATAACTATTATAAATTGATCACAAGTCCTTACCTCTTTTTTGTTGACCCATTTTCATAAACAACTTATTCTACTAGTTTATAAAAGTTGTTTAAAACTTCTTAACAGAGTTAAATTTTTCTCAAGGGAGTTATGCCTTTGGCTCTCTCTCTATATCCTTACAGGCAAGGGTGTATAATTCCTTTATAAACTGAGTGGTCTTTAGAGTAGCAAAAGTGGTTAACTTTGTTATTCATTTCCTTATTGGTGACAGTAATAGAATGTTTAAGTCTTAGCATCTTTGGACATAAAGTAGAAGTAATTTCCCAACTCATTTACATTGGTATATTTGTTATAAAGTGTGCTTTCTATTAACTTTTGGAGTTGTTTCCTTAGTAGTTAGTTAGACTTGGGTAAGTATTAACAAGGACATTGATTTTCCATAAGGGGGGTAAAGTATTATAAATGTGACTTCAGGTGTCGAAAGATATTTATTAGTCAATCCTTATAAACACACCTTTTTCATTGCTATAACAGCATATTGGCTCTCTTTATCAGCCCTTTTTGTCATATTAGTAAATTGGACTTAGCTTTGTACTTGGCTAAATAAACATAGAGAAGGAATTCTTAAGTGTCTATTTAGCTAAACATACTTAGCCTAGCTTATTAGTTTTCTTTTGTTTTGTCTTGTACTAGCTTGGCAAAAACCCTTATGTATTGAGTTTACTTTCTTAATATCGCTACATGATAATTTACTATGTCCACTAAACACTTTCACTATCATACCCCATGTGTTATTCTTATTCCAAATCTATATGCTATTTATAATAAATGTCTAGATATACTTTTAAAAGTGGGGTGAAAGCCCAAAACATGCATTCCTTAAAGAAGGGGGCAAGGAGCTAGAGGGAGAGTTATTGTGGAGGGTTAATAAGAATAGTGGTTGGAAGCATGGTTAACCATTTAAAACATTAGTTTAGCTTCCACTAGATTAAATCACTTTTTGTTTTATTGAGTCTAAGCTCAAATTTATATTGCTTTAGTCAGTAGGGTACCTTAAGCCACCAGTATACTAAGATTGTGTTAGACTCAATCTAACATTATTTTGCATGTAAGAGTTAGTGCTTATAAAAGATATTGAGTGCACACCAAACTCTTGTTTCATAGTGTAATGGGTTTAAAGTTTAACTCTTAATTCATATGTGCTATTCTTGATCCTTTATTAAACTAAATTTTGGTTTTGTAGATATAGAAAAAATCTCTATATTTAGCAGATCTTGGAAAAAATCCTTCAATTTGCTAAAAAAGAAAAGATTGTAAAAGATTATATTAGTGGTACAAACTGTTTTTCAATCTCAATAAATTACAGTATATAACATGAAATTTTAAGCCATAGAATTTTATGCATTACTTTTACAATTATTACATAGCTATTTACAATTGAAATTGCTCTCTCAAACTCCTCAGCCCTTGTTGAAATTTGAAAATGCAAAGAAGATTTTTCAATTGGAATTAGAAGAGGGGCTCTTAATTATAGAGACCTAAAGTCAATGAATTTTAGAAATTCTAGGCTGGTCATATAATTTCAAGAAATCCCAAATCTCACATAGAGGATGTCCAATATCATAGACTACCATATGTATGGACTTTTTTTCACGCAACACCATTTTCGCCATAGTATCTTACAGGGATGATACTCTCTCGTTAATAGGACTTCGCAAAAATGGCCACCTCATGGGTAGTTTTGTTTGTGAAAATGCACGTCTTTGCCTCTGGCTGGTCGAATGGGAAGCATCGAATGGTGGCTCCAGTTTCTTCTTTCACAGTGGTCTCGTTGTCATCACTGTTTGAAACCATTCATCAAAGATCGCGCGAAAGGAATTTCACGAGAAAGTTTACCTCCCACACCATGGGCCCCTCGCCCATTTTCCCTCGGCAATCACAGCCTTGAGCTCCTCGTAAGAATTGACATCCACTATGTTACTGCACAGCACGATAAGTTATGCTTCAAGCAAGAATGAAAGACAAAAGAACCTGTCTCGGAATTCAGTCGCTCTGGCCAACAAACTTGACTGAATGTCGTCCAGCTTGGCTCGCAAGTGATCAATCAAAACGCTTCTCTCCATAAATATGCCAAATTCTTTCCCTGCCTTGCCGGGAACATCTCTTCTAGCAACTACAACTGAGTTGTTTGCAACGTCTTTGGGCCCGATTTCAATTCGAATCGGTACTCCCTGCACTCCACAAATGAGTAGAAAATAAATGGACAATCCACACTACCTTCAGTTCCCAGTGGTTGAACTTCCATCCCGGAGTTCTTTGATCAAATGTGTCCAGTTTGACCCGAATGCCGGCGGCCCTCACAAGACTCTCGACCTTATGAGCCGCTTGTAAAACAGATTCTTGTTCGTCACCCTTCTTCCAAATTGGCACGATCACAACCTGGAAACACTCAACCCCTTATCAACTAGAGCATTGAGTGCACTGATTTTACCTGGATGGGAGCAAGCTTTGGAGGAAGCATCAATCCTTTATCGTCGCCGTGTGTCATGATAATGCCTCCTACCATGCGGGTGCTCATTCCCCAGGACGTCTGCCAGATATGTTGCAAATCACCATTTACATCCGTAAACTGCCAGGATGAAAACATCAGAGACAGAAACATATAGGTACACAATTTGTGTGATACCTGAGTCTCAAAAGCTCGGGCAAAATTTTGGCCAAGGTTGTGACTTGTACCAGCTTGCAACGCCCTTCGATCTCCCATCATGGCTTCAATAGTATACGTACAGGTAGCGCCCGCAAATCTTTCAAGTCTCGACTTACGGCCTACGATCACTGGCATCGCAGCTTGTTCGACAGCAAAAGTCCGATAGACCTCTATCATTCGAAGAGCCTAGCACAGGAAAATGTTTTCAGCTACAAAACACATACACACATAAAACCGACACCATACCTCCTCTTCAGCTTCTTGCGCTGTTGCATGGGCCGTGTGGCCTTCTTGCCACAAAAACTCTAGTGTTCTGATAAAAGGCTTCGTTCTTCTTTCCCATCTCGTCACGTTTGCCCACTGATATCAACCATCTGTCAGAAAACTATCACATCTAAGTTAACACTCGAGCTGTAAGAAGCAGTTACCTGATTGACCAGCAGTGGAAGATCCCGATGACTTCGAATCCACTGAGCAAACATGTGATTCACCATGGTTTCGCTCGTTGGTCTCACCTGGAAAGCATCTGTACATCTCACCTGATCAAGGAGGATAAGTTTCAAAGAACTCACCACAAGCTTCTCTTCTAGCTCTTTCCCTCCGCCTATAGTCACCAGTGCAAGCTCGGGGCTAAATCCTTCGACATGGCTTGTTTCTTTCTCGATGAACGAGTATGGAATGAGCTGCCAGAACGTAGCTGTGAAGACTCGTTTAACTCAAAGCGCGTAGTACCTGTGGGAAGTACATGTTGGAATGTCCAGTCTCCTTGAATTTTGCGTCGAGCCATGACTGCCAAGAACATAAAATGGATTAGAAGAAAGAGAAGAACCTCAAGGAAAAAGGAGTAGAGAATGAAGAAAACCTGGACAAACTCCCAAATCGCATAGCCGTAAGGTCGAATCACCATAGTTCCTCGCACAGGCCCATAATCCGCGAGCTCGGCAGCGTCAATCACATCCAGGTACCATCGACTGAAATCCTGGCTCCTCGGCGTCACGGCCTCGTCCACCGGCTTCTTTGCGGGACGGATTTCGGCATCCTCCACGGCGGTGGCGCTCGCATTGCTACCTGCATTCGCGTGAATCGAACAAAAACACCTCTTTCGGGAGCTCCAGATGAGGGCGCCAGCAGCAATCCCCCTGGCGCCCATCGCAGCTCGCACGGACGATCCACCGACGCATCCCAGCACTGGCAAGGCGCACAAAGCCCTCGACACCATAGCATAAAGCCCTAAAATTTTGACTAAATTCCAGCATCTATATTCAAAAAGAGGATATGCTATAGAGAATTGGCGCTCTCCATACTTCCTAGCTTGATATACATGCCTCGAAGAGAAGCTACGACCGTCTTCTCGGCTCCAAGCTTGGATTGGAGAGCGCGAAGATGGAGCTCTCTTCCCAGCTCGAGCTCGCCAAGAGCGCTCACTGCCGCCGCGACGATGGAAACCGTGACTTTGTCCATTTCCAGCTCCATCTCTCGAAAGATTTCCACCGCTTCCTCGTGGTGTCCAAGGTGGGAGTAAGCTCTCAGGAGTGAATTCCAGCAGCCAACGTCCTTGCGATGGATGCCATCGAAGATATCCTGAGCTTCTTCCAGGCCGATGCACCGGGCGACCATGGCGGTAAGAGCTGCTCCAACGGTGGAGTCCGAGCAAAGTCCGAGCTCTCCAGCGAGTCCCTGGATTCTCTCGCAGTCCGGAACTGACTCGAGCTCCGCCACTGCTGTCATGGCGATGGCGAGGCAGCTTCTACCAGGATTTCCACCCTCCTGGAGCATGTCGCGGAAGAGATCGAGAGCCTCCAGGTTGTAGCCACTCTGGGAGAACGTCTCCATGATCAGCGTCCACGAGCAATCGTCCACACTTGGCATTGCCTCGAAGGTCTTGCTAGCGAGTTTCAAGAGCTTGAGCTTGGCAAACATTCGCAGGAGTGAGTTCCCGACTTCCAGGCTGCTGTTATATCCGCTCTCGAGGATCCACCGGTGAATAAACTTTCCCTGCGCCACTGTCGTCACCCCGCCGAGAGCCGCGGTGAAAGTTGCAGAATCTGGAGGGCCTCCTTCTAGCTGCATCCGTTGAAAGAACTCGATCGCCCGAGACGATTCGCCAGTAGTCCCAGCGAACGCAGAGATGACGGAGTTCCAAGATGCCGCCCTTGCTCGGTTCATCCTGCTAAATGTTGTCACCATGTCCTCCACACTGCCATAGCTGCTGTAAAGTTCCAAGAGGGAGATCCCCACGAGAACTTCCAGCTCCAGCTCGCTGCCTTGGATCGCCGCGTGAATTCTTTTCCCAGCTTCTAGCGCTCCCAGCTCCTTGCAGGCTCTGAAGAAACCCGAGTAGCTCCCACCATCGCCTCGAACACCTTCCAGGTGCATCGTCCACACAAAGATCAGAGCCTCTCTGCTGCACAGCGCGTGGACGTGCCCGTGAATCACCGCATTCCACACCAAAGCGTTCCCCCGGTTTAACTTCCGAAACACCCTCCTTGCGTCTCGCAAGCTCCCACAAACGCAGTACATCTTGACGAGAGCAGCGGCAGTCTTGATATCAGCTTCCCAGCCGTCCCGAAGAATTTGAGAGTGTACCAGCCTGCCTTTCTCGAGCCACTGGGGAGAGTGACAAGCGTTCAAGAGCGCGATGTACGTCATCCTGTTGGAACGAACTCGACTGATTTGCATTACGTCGTGAGTCGTGAAAGCCTGCCGCGAGAGGCCCCGGCAAACGTATGCCTCGATCAGGTTCGTCCACCCGGCCACGTCTCTGTTGATAATCTCGTCGAAAGCCGCCTGTGCATCCTGGAGTCGTCCACAGCTCGAATACATCCTGATGATCGAGGCCCCGGTCACTGTGTTAGTCTCGATTCCCAGTTGTTGGCAGCAGTCGCGGATAAGTCTTCCTTCCTTGAGATAGGCCGGACCAGCACAGGCACTGAGAAGAGCCGAGAACGTCCCTTGGTTCCCCGAGTATCCTTCCACGTTGAACTGGTAAAACTTGTCGAAGACGTCATCATAGAAGCCGTGACGAACATAAGCTCCCATCAGAGCATTCAACGAGGCAACGCTGGGTGACTCGATAGTGTCGAATATCAGCTGAGCGATGTGTAGCCTCCCACACCTTCCATACACGCTGATGAGAGCATTTGATACCAACAGGTCGGAGCCTAGTCCCCAGGACACCACATCCCAGTGAACCTGTTTGGCAAGCTCTAAATCCGCTAGCTTCGCACAGACGTAGATGAGTGCCAGCAAAACCCGCTTCTCCCTGACAATTCCCTCCTGCTGGACAGTCCTGTGAACTTTCATCACCCCCGGTATATCACCATACTGAGCACAGCCCTCGATCATTTCCCTCCAGATCACTGGCTCCAGCCTTGGCATCCTGTAGAAAACTTCTTTTGCCTCCTCTAAGCTTCCACAGTCGAGGTACATCTTCACAATGAGGTGACCAAGTGATTCTTCTCGAGCACGGCCACTTTTGCGGATGTGTTGGTGGAGACGCTTTGCTTCGGTGAGATTTTTCAAATGGCCAGCATACCTGAGATAGTGCGCGTAGTAAGGTCCTTCCACTCGGGTAGGCAGTTTATCCACCACTTCTTTCAGTCGCTGGTTCTTCTTTGCCGGGAGAATATCTACAGTCTGGCCCTTGTGATCCCAACCGTAGTGCTTGATCGGGTGAATCACTAGCCTTTGCATCTTCTCCCTGACGAACGTAAAGTATACATTGTCGTAAGTTGTGGTTCCCGATTCGTTGTGAAACGTTCTGGAACTCACTTGAGAACCTGGAGTGAACGAGTGAGAAAAGACCACTACATTCTAAATGGGTCTCGCTAACTTACCAGGTAAATGTTTCAAGTCGCTTGTCTTTACAAACAGCTTCGCCGTGCTGGTCGTCTTCCTCTGCAGCACTTGCAGCATTTCGCATTGTGCGTGTGCTCCTTTAAACCCTAAACCCAAGAACAACACGAACACATCAAAGTCACCAGAACTTATAAAAAAAGTCTTGCCTCAAAAAAATGGACACGAGTTGTCAAAAGGAAAATCTCAAACGGACCTGCAAAGTCAGTCCAGCCCGACTAAAGCTTAGAAGTAAAAGTCCATACCTGAGTAGAATCACCAATAATCTCGGCACGCACAGTGACCATCCACGAAACGATGAAGCTGGCTGCTTCCATCTCTCAAGATGATTGTTCTGCCCATCGCCTTGGACATAAACTTGATGGCCGTGTGACAGTCAGCGCACATCCTGAAGTTCCTGATAATCCTGAGAGGACAATCTCCCCGAATTTTGATGGCTCCCAAGCCAACAGCAAGTCTCTCGCTATGATAAAACAGCGATTCCTGTCTCTGTTCTTCAGCTCTCTCGTGCATAAGCAGCTTGCTCGCATCGGGAGCATAGCCATCCTTTGCTATTCTCTGCCCCAGGTCCTCTAGCTCGGCATGTATCCCCTGTATCCTCTTGTGTCTTGTGTCAGCAGTGATGAACTCGTGACAAGTGGTATTCCCGACCAAAATTGAGCTTGTCACGCGTTCTTCTGTCAAGCCTTTGCTGGTCATTGTTTCTCGGACTCTGGCAGCATCATCCGATCTTGCGAGAGCATTGTAAAGGCCAGCGACAACAGCATAAGATCTAGCCGCGTGTGGACTACACTCCAGTAAGCTTTCAGCAGCAGATCTTCCTCGATCCAAATCTCCGTGTATCCTGCACGCCGTAACTAGAGCGTCCCAGACGGGAGCCTCGGCATCTGGCAGCTTCTTGACATACTCCTCGGCTTCTTTCACCCAGCCAGATCGTCCGAGGAGGCCGACTGCGCAGGCATAGTGCTCGGCTATCGGAACCACGTCGTAGTCACTGCTCATGTAGACAAGATGGAGAATCCCTTCTCGTATGAAACCAGCATGCCCGCATGCAACCAAGACACTCGTAAATGTCTTGGCGTTTGGCTTCACACCTTCCTGTAGCATCTGTAAGAACACCTGTATAGCCTCGGTGCTGTAGCCTGAAGAGCAGTACGCTTCCACCATGAAGTTCCACGAGAACCAGTTCTTCTCCTTCATATTGTCAAACACCGCCCAGGCTTCCTCAACACTGCCACACTTTCCATACATGTCCACGAGTGCGTTGCCCACGAAAACATCTTGCTCAAGGCCTTTCATTGTTATCCAGCCATGAACCTCTTGCCCCGCTTCCAGAGCCAGGAGACTCCCGCAAGCTTGCAGAAATGCCACGCAGCTACTAGCATCAGCCACCATCTTTGCGGACTCCATCTCTTTCAGCAAGACAAAGGCTTCGCTGCAATGGCCGTGCTCGCTGTACGCGGCTATCATCTTGCTCCAAACCACCGGACCCCTGTGAGCCATCCCGTCGAACACTCTCCGAGCATCATCCAAGCTTCCACACTTGCCATACATATGTACCAGCGAAGAGTTGACGAGATCGTTGCTCTGGAGGCCATAAACGGTGACGAGCTCGGCCACCACCCTGCCTTCGTGCAAATTCCCACTCGCAGCACAGGTATCTAAAGCAGTAGCCAAAGTCAAGCTATCCGGCCTCACTCCCTGCCTTCGCATCTTCCAAAAGAGTTCCAGCGACCCCTTGAGCTGACCATTCTGGAAGGAAGCTGAGATGATAGCGTTCCACACCAAAACGCTGTGAGGACCTCCATCACCAGCCACACTGCTACTGAAGATGCTCCAAGCCTCTTCCAAGCTGCCACACCTCCCATACATTTCTATCAGCGCCGCACGGACAAGATCATCGTTCTCAGCCCCAAGCTCGACTATCCTGCTGTGAACAAGCCTGGCACCCGCCAGAGACTCGGCACTGGCGAAGGATTTCATCACCGCGAAGTAAGTCGCCTTTGCCGGACCCGTCCTACTTTCCATTGTCTCGAAGAGTTTGATCGCTTCCTGCCATCTCCCATACTTGGCATAGGCCGCTATCACCGCGGTCCACATACCAACATCCTTGGAAGGCAGCAAATCGAAGAGATTGCGCGCCTCATCGAGGCTCCCACAGCTGAGATACATCTGGACGATGAATTTGGCGAGCGGGAGCTGCTCGGCAATCCCCATCTGGACGAGCTGCTCGTGGATTCTCCTCCCAGCCACCAGCGCCTTGAGCCGGGTACACAGGCGGACAATGTAGAGGAAGTAATCCCTCTCGCCCCTCCCACGAATCACATTCCTGTCCAATCCCTCGAGTACCTTGTTGAGCCATTCCAGATTGTACTGCGCCCCCTCCTCGGCAGCGGTGATCTTGCGCAGCGCGCTCTTGGCGCCGATCGAGGACCCGAAATGCAAGTATCGCGAGAAGACAGCAGAACCTGATCAAAATCTAGCGCACCTGAGAGAAAGATCCAACCACAATGCGATCGATCGCAGAGAGCGAGAGAAAGAGAAATCCTACCTGGGATCGCGCACGCCTTCTTGCCACAAACCATAAACCCTAATGGCCGTGGTGTCAAAATCTAGATTTTCTTCTTGACGTCAATAAACGATTACAAAAGCATTTTGGGGCATGAGCTCGATCGTATTCTTGTAGCATTACACTTCTTTTCCAGGAACACCATCATATCCACGAGTTGAACGTATTTAACTATCACAAATTACTATAAAAGAGGGTTTTAGATCATTCTTAAGAATTTAAACCTTAGAGCTATACATAACTTGCAATTAATTTCAAAATAATTATAAAAAGAAACGACAATTTAATTCTTTAGTATTTTAAAAGTGATAATTTGAAATATTTAATAGAGACAAAAAACCATAATTACTTGGTATAGTTTTTAATAGTGACAATTTCAAAATAATGCAGCAATGCTTGGTTTGTTTTATAGTAGGAAGTGTTTAGGAAATTTTATTAATTATAAATATGTTTATAAATTAATCTAAATGAATAACAATTGTTAGATAGTAGAATATCCTTCGATATCTTCATTACCACCCCTTACAGATTTGTTTAAGGAAACCAATAATTAACAAAACAAAGAAAAATTTATATCATGTTATGAATTATTATAGTTAAGTTCAAAAGGTGGGAAGGGTTTAAGCGTTTGACTTTATGATTAATAATAATTTACTTTAATTAAATAAATAGTGATATAATAAATTCTCAAAGTTATTTTACTCCAAAAGATTTATGTTTCTGACAATTATATCCACTGGGCATAGGTGAGTTAATTTTGGTCCACACACTTTACAGAAGTGCTAAAATAGATAAATAGAGCTTAGTGATTATTATAGTGACATATAAAATTAACATAAAAAATATAGATAATTCCTAAAAAAGAGTTTAAACTTTCAAGTTTATAAAAAAAATTAATCATTGAAAAAGAGTTTAAACTTTCAAATTCATAGTTATATGCTATAACCAGCTAAACTATTTTATTTTAGCTATAGTAACAAATTGTTTCCAAAATAAATAGTTCTTAGCAATACTATAGTAACATGATTAAAATTATATAGATAAAATAAGAAATCCCAAAAACAATTATTGTTAAATAAATAATTCTATATATACTTTGAAAATAAGAATAGAATAAAATAAATAATAGTTCTATTTTTAATATTAACCTTAATTATGGATCTTGATCAAAAAGCATTTCCAAGGATAGAAGAGGATTGTTTTAATTTCAAACTACCAAAAAAGGCAAAATCAAGTCTTTATTTTATTTGTAAAAAAACTACTAAAAACTTTAAATTGATTTAATATATGGATTTATAAACAATGGGTGGGAAGCAAATGTTCTTTATTTCTAATAAAGCACTAATTATTGAATATTTATACTCGATTTACTTTTAAACTTAATTCTGAAAACTTATTTTGTAAAACTTATATCTTATTTTTGTTGTTTCTGGTTATGTCCAAAATAAATATAAATTTTCAGATAATAATTGATAAAAATATATACTATAGAAAATATATTACAATAAATAATTTTTAAATAGATAAGCAAAGCTGCAACGAAACATGCAGCAATATTATTCTGATTTATCAATTCAATAACATTCAAATAGCCTATTAATTTAAAAGGGAACGTGTAAAATGTGAGGTGGTCATGCATAGTTATGCTCATGATCCTAATTTTTCAAAGAAAACGAGGAAGTCAAAGAAAAAAATTCATATGTTCGACCAGCGTAGGAATATGATCAGAAAGAGATTGAATTCTCCAATTCATTCACCTCACTGTTCTAGAAATTTTCTGAGACTTTTGAGCTGTGAACAGAAGATGATCATAGTTCTTTCCTTTGTGGCGCTTGTCTTTTGGAGCTCTTCATCATCAGGTATTCCAGAAAACGTTTTAGTACAGCGTTTCTTAAAATCTTTCGTTTCCATGTGCAACAGTAGCTTCCAATCCCCCTTTTAGTTTCATACAAGAAGCCACCACTGTCTCGAGCTCCGATTTGCTTGGCTATGACTACATAATCGTGGGCGGCGGAACCACTGGCTCGCCCCTCGCGGCAACGCTCTCGACTAAATACAAAGTTCTCGTGCTCGAGAGAGGAGCATCACCATACGGCAATCCAAACATCTCTAGGATCGAGAACTTTGGAGCGATTCTCGCCGACGTTGGGCCACAATCGCCACTCCAAGTCTTCTTCTCCAGCGAAGGGGTAAGAAACAGGAGAGCTCGAGTTCTTGGAGGAGGATCTAGCGTAAATGCCGGGATCTATTCTCACGCCGAGCAATCTTTCATCTCCGCTCTGGGTTTGAATCCTTGCCTGGTGGACCAGTCCTATCGCTGGGTCGAGAGTGTTGTGGCTTCCATTCCAAATCAACTCGGGCCTTACCAGAGAGCGTTCCGGGCATCGCTGCTCCAAGCTGGGATCACACCGGACAACAATGCAACGTATGATCACTTGGTTGGAACTAAAACTTTTGGAAGTATTTTTGATCAATCCGGCTCCCGGAGGCCAGCTTCAAACCTCTTTGTCTATGCAAATCCAAGCAATATCAAGGTCCTCCTTCATGCAACAGTACTACGAGTTCTCTTCTCTCAAGGTTTGTGATCAAGTTCACATTGTATAGTTGACAAGAACCTTGAGCACGATCAGGTTTGTCGCCAAGAACGTATGGAGTCGAGTTTAAAGACGAGCTTGGCCGGATCCGGAAGGCTTTCCTTTCTCATCCTGGAAAAGAATCTAGCGAAGTCATTCTTTGTGCTGGTGCGATCGCAAGTCCGCAGCTTCTAATGCTAAGTGGAATCGGGCCTGGAAACCATCTTCGATCCAAAGGCATCAAGGTGATCAAGGATTTTCCAGAGGTTGGAAAACATATGGCAGACAATCCAGCCATTTCCCTGGTCGTGCCATCGCCATCTTACGTCGAGGTCTCCACGAGCTTGAGCGTCGGGATCACGTCCTTTGGAAGCTATATCGAAGCTGGCAGCGGCGGAGTGCGAGGGCCAAATGCTACCTTCGTTTCTGAGAAGGTCAATGGCCCAGCTTCCACGGGAGAACTCTACTTGGCCACAACGAATGTGGATGATGATCCGGTTGTAAGTTTCAACTATTTCCAAGAGCCAAGGGATTTGCAAGTTTGCATTGGAGGAGTGGACGCAATCGAGAAAGCATTGCTCTCAAACGCTTACAAACCTTTCCGATATGACAATCAGTCACTCCCATCCGGAGGAACGGTGAGTTTTCCCAGCAGGAGGAATTCAAGCGCGTTGGCTATCAACAACACTCTTGCGGATTATTGCAAGAGAAAGGTCGTGACTTTGTATCACTTCCATGGTGGCTGCCTGGTAAACAAGGTGGTGGATTCCAGCTTCAAGGTAATTGGCATACGAAACTTACGCGTTCTTGATGGTAGCGTTTTCCATGTCTCGCCTGGAACCAATCCACAAGCCACCTTGATGATGCTTGGAAGGTATGCTATCATTTTTTCACTTCCCTCCACCGAGATTTTTGACAGAGTATCAACCACACAGATATGTTGGAAAAGCCATAATCGATCACGATCAAAGAGAGTAAAAGTTTCTTCCCACCATGCCACCATTCAAGAATAAAATTCCAATCCAACAACGAACTTTTCAAGTCACTGGGAAATGTCCAGGCTCCTGAGAAGCGAGTAAGTTGCCGAGCTCTCTGGCTCTAGCATCGCTGCTCGATCCGCCGCTATCTCGGCGTAGTGAGCATCGCCATGAGTGCTGCAAGATCGCAGCAAAGTCGTCCAAGCGCGTCCATCGAGCGAGATCGCTGCTGCTTCGGCCACTTCTCGAGCTCGCTCCAGCAAACCAGCCCCTCCAAGCAGATCGATCAAGGAGCCATGGTGTGGGAGAATCGGTGCCAGGCCAAAGTCTCCAGGCATGGATTGGAAGAAATGCTGCGCTTTCTCGACCCGTCCCGCATAAGTGCACGACGAGAGAATTCCAGTGAATGTGATCTCGTCCGGAGAAATCCCCTCGAGCTGCATCATCTGGAAGAGGGCGATGGAGTCGCCACTTGTTTGCGTCGCGTTGGCCATGATAATGGTGTTCCAAGACGATAAATCGTGCTCGGGCATGCGATTGAAGATGGATCTTCCATGGCGGAGCTGACCATTTTGGACGTGGCACTGGAGGAGACAGTTCCATGCCGGCAAGTTCCACTGCGGCATCTTGTCGAAGATTTTCGTGGCTTTGGCGGCATTCCAATCGCGAGTTACTGCTGATAGCAGCGTCGCCCATGACAGAGAGTTCCTCTCTGGCATCCTCGCAAACATAGATTCTACTTCCTCGAGGCTGCTGGAACTTGTAGCGTTGCTCTGATGATCATGGCTCGCAAGAGCTGCCAGCATTGCATTCCAGGAGATCAAGCTCCGCTGGGGCGCTCGATTAAACACCAACTTTGCCTGATCCAGATCTCCATTCGTGGCAAATGCATGAATCATCGACGTCCATGTCACGACGTCTCGCTCGGGAATCTCTATAAACAGCAGCTCTGCTTGGATCAAACACCTGTTTTGGATGAAAGCCGATATCATGTTGTTCCACACCACAGAGCTGAGACCTGGGATCTTCCAAAACACGTCTTTCACTCGATCAAGATCGCCCATCTTGGCAAATGCTTGAATCATCGCGTTCCAAGCAAAGTGGTCGCGCTCCGGCATCGAATCAAACAACATTTTTGCTTCGATCACATCGCCAGCGTTCACTAGACACCACACCATGGCGGTCCAGGTGACGCGATTTCTTTGCGGCATCTTTTCAAAGACGCTCCTCGCAGACAAAACATACCCCGACTGGGCATTTGCTGTGATCAGCCCAGTCCAGCACACAACGTTCTTCCCGGGCATGTTCTCAAAGCACTGGCGAGCCTCGCGGAGATGGCCATTCTGGGTATACGCCACCACGAGCAAATTCCACGAGAAGATGTTGGGCGAGTGAATGGAATCGAAGACGCGCCGCGCGTCGTGGAGGCTGCCACACTTGCCATACATCTCCACCAGGAGATTGGCGAGGAAGCGGTAGTTCCCGAGATTGGCATCGGCGATGTGGGCGTGGATGCGCTTCCCCGCGATGAGATCCCTGGAACTGCCGCATGCCCTCACGATCGAGGCCAGGTGCTCGTAGACGCGATCCAAATGCCCCGGCAATGGCATCCATTACTTAGTAGTAAAATTTAAATTTCTCTCAAGAACCCTAATTCCAGGGACTGTTACGGTGTTGAATGCTCAGCGCGAGGAGCATTAAATTCACCGCAGAATGGGCAGTAACAACACGCAAGGAAGAAAAGGGTCCTGCCCTTTCACCTTTGCATTGAATTGCCGCGAGAGCGATGGCTCCAAGCTCGAATTTTTAACGAAAAACTCTGGGTGTTGGATCATCTAGGCCTAGATCATCACCACTCACGCAAAGAATGGTTTTCTTTTTTCCCGATTTCTTCCGGGTGGGTGTTGGGCGTGCGTCCGATCGCTGTACAGTCCTGGAACTGTTTGGATAGTTAGCAATTAAACAACGACATTGTCTCGCGAGGCTGTGAAAGTGATGAGAAACAGAGGAGCCACTTTCAGCCAGCCAACGCTTGCATCGCTCCTTGCTTGCTCCTGGAGGAGAGGATAGGTTTTGACAAAAAAATTTGGCTTTGGTTGATGCTAGGCTAGAGGAGAGCTACCATAGCCAGGATGAATCCAAGCTAAAAGCCCAACAAGGGATAGCTCCTTCTTTCTTCTTGCTCGCTCGCATAGCCGCCAAAAAAGAGTGAGATTGAGCAGAGCGGTGATTTGATTTTATGGGATATATGATCATCACTAGCAGCATCATCATCCACTAAGGAACTATGCACAGCAGTCGCAAGAAATGGATGGGATTTCTGGGAATCGAAGAGCTCCTCCCAAATGACTGACTAGAACAGCGCATCGCCCAATTCGCTGTAGACGCGTACGTCGCCAAGCATCTGGAAAGAGTCAACCCTTTTTTCTTCTTCTTCCCTCTTGGTACTGTCTGGATCACGCGACACACACGACACAAGCGAGCAAAAGAGAGATTTCTACTGCGCATTGGGATTTCTTCTTCCCGGAGGAAGATGGAGGCTGTAGATGAAATGATGCTGGGACAGCGACTGGTGGGCTACGGCATTGCGAGCGTGGTGCTCGGTCTATGGCTCCGGGACGCCTTTTGGTAAGTGCCCACATCCAGATCGATCGATCTTGGTCTTGGGTCTAGCTCCTTGCGCATGATTATCATCGATCCAGATCCCAGGAAGAAGAGAAGGAAGAAGAAGAGAGCTCACCATGCCCTCTCTCCTCTGGCAGCTCCACCACTCGGATGATGGGTCCAATCTAGAGATCTCTCCAGGAGCCTCATCATCCAAGAATCATGGCAGCGATGATTTGCGAACGATCAAAGAAGAAGAGGAGGATGAACAGGAGGAAGGAGAGAGTAGTAGTGTCCCACCGGCACGACCGCCGCCACCATCATCGCGAAGAACACCCAAGTCGGTGTTCACCCGCGCGGAGGATTTGCCGGGCTTGGAATCGGCGCTGGCGTCCTTCCTGGCCGAGCACCCGAGCTTCGAATCCACCAGCGCCGTGGACGAGACCCGCGAGTCCGACTACCCCCACCTCCGCGCCGCCAACCGGGCGTGCTTCGATTACTGCGGCTTCGGCCTCTTCTCCTTCACGCAGCGATTCACCGCCGGGCGCCAGAGATCCAGCTTCTCGCTCGTCTCCGCGGGCTCCTCGGGCAGCCTCGCGGCGCAGGCCGCCTTCGCCACCACCGAGCCCAACACGCTGCAGTCGGAGCTCCGATCCAGGGTCCTCGACTACCTCAACGTGGGCGACGGCTCGTACAGCGCGGTATTCACCGCCAGCAAGCGCGCGGCATTCGCCCTCGTCGCGGATTGCTACGACTTCCGTGCCAGATCCAAGCTCGTCACGGTCTACGACCACGAGAGCGAGTCGGTCAAGGCGTTGACTACTGCGGCGGTACGCTCAGGGGGCCGGACGTGTGCCGCGCGGTTCCGGTGGCCGACGCTGCGGCTGTGCGGCGAGCAGCTGGCGGCGGAGCTCAAGACGCGCGGTAAGGGGAGTCGGCTGCTCAAGAAGAAGACCGGTACCGCGGGCGGTACCGCGGGCGGTAGGCGGCGGGGGCTCTTTGTCTTTCCCACGCAGAGCCGAATCACTGGGACCAAGTACTCGTACCAATGGATGACTATGGCGGAGAAGCACCGCTGGGATGTGCTGCTCGATGTCTCCGCCATGGGTCCTCGCGATATGGGATCGTTGGGACTCTCGCTTTTCCGCCCGGATTTCATCATCTGCTCGTTTTACAAGATCTTTGGGTCGGATCCCACCGGGTTTGGGTGCTTGCTGATCAAGGACTCGTCCATGGCGAGCCTGCGATCGTCCAGCTCCAGCCCCGGGATTGGGATGGTGAGAGTGGTGCCGGATCTTGGCGATGACGAGGAGCTAGCCGAGGACCTGGATGAGAATGTGCTCGGAGGTCGTCCTTCTTCTTCCGCGGCTGCGGCTAGGCCGGATCTTATCGCGTTCTCT